AAAATGGAACCCTTGTGTGCTGTTAGTGGGAACATAAATTAGTACAACTACTATGGAGAGCTGTTTGGAGGTTCCTCAAAAAACTAAAAGTAGAGCTACCATACGACCCCTGCTAGGTGTATACCCTAAAGAAAGGAAATCAGGGCCGGGCGCGGTGGCTCAAGCCTGTAATCCCAGCACTTTGGGAGGCTGAGGCGGGTGGATCACGAGGTCGGCAGATCGAGACCATCCTGGTCAACATGGTGAAACCCCGTCTCTACTAAAAATTACAAAAAATTAGCTGGGCACGGTGGCGCGTGCCTGTAATCCCAGCTACTCAGGAGGCTGAGGCAGGAGAATTGCCTGAACCCAGGAGATGGAGGTTGCCGTGAGCCCAGATCGCGCCATTGCACTCCATCCTGGGTAACAAGAGCGAAACTCCGTCTCAAAAAAAAAAGAAAGGAAATCAGTATATCAAAGAAATATCTGCACTCCCCATATTTTTTGTACACTGTTTACAAGAGCTAAGATTTGGAAGCAACTTAAGTGTCCATCAACAGATGAATGGATAAAGAAAACGTGGTACCCATACATAATGGAATACCATTTATCCATCGAAAAGAAGGAGATCCAGTTATTTGTAACAATGTAGAACTGGAGATCATTATGTTAAGTGAAATAACTCAGGAACAGAAAGACAAACATCACATGTTCTCATTTATTTGTGAGATCCACAAATCAAAACAATTGAAATCATGGACACAGAGAGTAGAAAGACAGCCTGGAAGGGTAGTAGGGGTCTGGGAGGGAGATGGAGATGGTTAATGGGTGCAAACAAAAATAGTTAAAAATAATGGATAAGATCTACTATTTGATAGCACAATAAGGTGACTACAGTCAATGATAACTTAATTGTACATTTAAAAATAACTCAAAGGATAAATGCTTGAGCAAAGGGATACCTCATTCCCCATGATGCACTTATTTCACACTGTATGTTTGTATTGAAATATCTTATGTATCCCATAAATATATACAGTTACTATGTACCCACAAAAATTTTAACAATTTAAAAAAATAAAAATAAATAAATGATTATGATAAAAGAATGGTAGTTATTTATATTTCTAAATGGTCTTCCTCGGTACATTAGTCTGAATTCTCAGTTGCACATGTTTAAAATCTAACCCAAACTGGTTTAAACTAAAAGAGAATTAATTGACTCATGTAATGAAAGAATTCATTGTCATAGTTATAAATGTATCTACACTTGGGATTCAGTTTCTGTTTTCAGGCCCTGACCCCTCTCCATTTCTTGGCTCTACTTTGCTTTTTAAAGGACTTTATTCCCAAATTTGACATGATGATCTCATAGGAGTCAGGCTTACATCATTTTTTCTTCTAATCCTAGTCATGGAAAGAAAACTTTTCCTACTAGTTCAATAGTTCAACAGAAGTCTTACTGGATATGGGTAGATCATATGACTAACCCTGAACCAATCACTGTAGACAGAAAATTTAATGGTCTAAATGTCTGTATCTAAGCCCAGAGATAGAGTCGGACCCTCACGAACAACATGGAATAAAAAGGAGTAAGAGCTGGATTCCCTAAGAAAATCAGGGTGCTGTTACCGGAGAAAAAGTGAATAATTTCGAGTTAAGCAAAAACATCAGCTCTGCACAAGTCTTGCTAAAATAGTAAACCGACCATACAATATAATCCTGCTAACTTTCTAAAAAAAGTTATAACTTTTTCAAATTCAAAAGGCTAGAAACCACTGTGGTAGACTACATGGTCTAACGGTGAGTAAACTTTCAGTAGTCACACAAGAATCTTTGGAAGACAAAGCAGGTAATAAGACAATATACCAAATGGCTGCATTTTTCCTCAATGATTCAGACATCAAAGGCCAACTTTTTTTCACTATTATCAAACATGTCAAGTAAACTCCCCCCTCAATGTTTTGAAATACCAAGGTAACCCTGCCACCAAAAATATTGTTGCTTGTGAGCTATATTTTAATTTACTTCTACCAAAATTGGGAGAACAGACAAGAAAGAACTATTCAGCCATCATTCCAGCACTGCCTGCGAAATCAGACTATGCTTACGTAAGACAAAAACGGCTCTAATTGGAGACTTGCTACTATTTGAAAGGTGTATTCTCTGTGTTTAGTAAGTGAAAAAGTGTTACAGTTATAACACTCTAAATATAGATCAAGAACATACTTTTTTAAAAACAAAATTATATTTGTAACCAAAATTTTATCCAAAGAATTATTGGTATATTTATCCTAAAAAAGAAGCTAGATTCATCCTTCAAAATAATCCCATAATTTTTCTATGTTTTCTGTAAACTGCTTCCAGCTCCTGCATGTCCCTAAAGACAGCTGGCTTTGTCACCAAAGTTTCAAGGCCATTTTAGAGACTAGCAGCATTCATTTCCTTAAATATACACTTTCTGTTGACCCTCATATCTTGACATTACCAAAGTAAGAAACTTTAAAAATAAAAATCCTTCGCATGGAAACACTAATATAAATAGAACCTACAGATCTCTTCCTATGGATAACATAGGTAACTGATGAAGATTCTCAAAATCTAGGCTTCTCAAGCTTCTGCTGCTTCTAAAGCTACTATTGGGCTGATTCCATTCAATAAAAAGTATTTACATGACTACGGCTTAGACCATAGTTACCTGTTTCCTTTTTAGCCACTGGAAATTTGCCTTTCATTACTACCACTTTACTAAATATGCTTTCTTGGTGATCTCCTTCTTGACAAATTAAAGGGCCTTTTATCAGTCCTCATTCTCCCTGACCATTTTCAAAATCTTGACCTTTTTCTTTTTTTTTTTCTTTAATTGGCTTTTTTCCTTTTTTGCTGTATTTTTATTCTGCATGTTCTCTTTTCCCTTATGCAAATAACAACCCTGGTTTTCTCCTACATTTAGAATACCTTCTCTAGAGAAGCTTATTTTTTCCTTTTCCTAAATGTAGATAAGCTTAAAGAAACCGGTATTTTTTTAATGTATATTTTTGTATTCAACAGTACCCTGGAAAATACTCAAGTAATAAATAGAATCTAATATTTAAATGAGAGGATCAAAATGTACAATAAATATAGTTGTGTGATTAACTAGTTAACTATTTGGGGGTTCAACAAAGGCCTTATTAACTTCCCCTCCTTCCAGTTAGGTTTATAGAATCTAGAACTAGCTGAAAGCTGTTCCCCCAGCTAGGGAGTAAGTTTCTCAGAAACAAAAAGGGAGTTCTGTTTTTTGTATTCCCAAGCAGCTAAGCAGTGTCTGATCCAGAGAAGATAATAAAAAGCTTTTAAAATATAGCAAGTAGCACCAAATGTCTACAGCACATGATATATACAGGAGAATAATGAAAGTACTAAAAAGTAAGGGGGAGAGTACTGATCTAGATGCTAAGGATTCTGGATTTACTCTTTATATAATGGAGAGCTCTGGAGGGGTTTTACACAGAGCATAATATAATATAAATTATTTAATACATGTGAAAAGACTTAGAATTGTTTTTGTCATATAGTAAGCCCTGTATAATTGCTTGTTATTATTATCATCTTCATCAGAACAATGTTTATTAATCCTCTTATAAGAATTTCTACCTAATGTTCATATTCTAATGTCCAAAACTGTGAGTTTGCTTTTGGTATTTTCAAAGCACTTTCTTTGCAGAAACAGATTGCCGGAAAGTCACTCCCACTTTTAGTCTCCTACTCTAAACGAAGTCTGGTTCCAAAGTCAACCACCTACTTTAATCTCCAGAACTCACTCCAAGGCAGAAATCACTCAACTCCAGTCTATCACCAAACAGGATAAAGTTTATTTTAAAAGGATCTCCAGCATCTGCCTGGCACTACTGTCCACAAAGTGAGAGTGAGCCAGGGCTCCTGCTTGCATGAAAAGAAGGAGTCTGAGCATATTTGCTAAGTGGTCTTTGCAAAACATGAAAACAACCACAGAGGAGACCCAGCTCAGGGAATTGGGGAAGTAAGTAGGCAGCTCTACACAGACCACAAAAAATTAATCAGGCATTGGAACAATTTTATTCTAGTTTGTATTCTTTGGGGATAACTTCCTTAGTAGCAGCTAAATGGGGATCCCTAAGGCTTGCCAAATATCCCATTTGAATTAGCATATATTTGCATATATTGACATACAAAAAGATGCACCATCAGACTACCAAAAAACGTCCTTCCACACTCCTCGGTAGGTCATTTTTCCCTCTGTGATTCTCTGGGCAACCAAGGCAGCAATCCTGCCAGAACAATTACCGGGGAGAACAAGATTGTTCTTCTGTGACTGGGTACCTGTGACGCTCCAGGCAATTCACTTATTTATTTTGAGGCTTGGTTTTCTTATTTAAAATGAATAGAGGAATTCCACAAAAACCTCTAAAATTCCTTATGTTTCTAAAACTCTGATTTTTATTTTGCATACTCTTTCCAGAGGTAGGTTGTTGAATTAAATAAAGGATTGGCAAATTACAGCCCAGAGGCCAAATCCTCCCACCACCTGCTTTTATACACAGCGTTTCACTGAAATGGGCACATCCATTTGTTATATTTCATCTGTTGCTGCCTCTCTGCCATGGCAGAGGCAAGTGACTGTACCAGAGACCAATCATAGCCTAGAATATTTTCCATATGGCTCTGTAAAAGAAAAACTTTACTGTTTCCCGATCTAAGTAAAAGTCAACAGAAATTTTCATTTTCTCATTTATTTCTTATGCTAATTTACATATGAGTCAATGGAGAAGCCATGAATAAGGTCTTGGCTGAGGCAGTGTGAACAATTATTTGTTCTGCTCTTCAACAATATGTATTAGGGCAAACAAATGACAAACTTATGACAAATTGCTCTCATGTTCTAACCTTTAGAAAGTGTCATGTGAAATGCTGTTGTCACACCCAAGCCAGTGTTCAAGACATGTGTGAATTGAAAAAACAAACTGTCATTGTATTCTAAGTAGTTTTCTTGCACAACTCACTTGAAATAGGTTGCTATTTGCTTTATGGGTTATTCTGGTGGACTTCACAAAATAAAAAGTGATTCAGCACCTCAATCTCCCCATTCTCAGTTGAATGACTCCTTGATTAATAGTTGAAGATGGTAGTTGTATGAGCTCCATAGTGAATTCTATTTTAATTATATAAAAAAGAGCAATGTTAAATCATGCAATGAATAAGAAGGGACTTACAGAACATTAGCTAGGCAATATATATAAAATAATTACAGGCTGATTCATGTCTGACTTGACACTTGATTATAAGTGTGTCTCTTCTTAGAACATTAAGTAGAAAATAAAAGCAGCTATTCAGAATTTTTGCATTTTATAAATGGAGCATAGCTAGAAAAGTGAAATGTATGTTTTTTTGGTTCTTTAGAAAATACTCTCACTTGGTTTGAGCCTCAAAAAATATCAAGTAGCAAAGTTTCTCCTGCTTCATGTGTTTTTCCAAACATTCTTGAAACTTAAAGTCCATTTGGAGCCACACAGACTGTATCTGATTTCCAGCATTTTGACTTTAAGAAAGTTATTCGACCTAACCAAGTAAGCCAAGGTTTTCCCATCCAATTTAGATAATAATAGCTACTACTTTATAGTGTATTTTGAGAAGTCTATTTACCAAATGTAGATTCCCAGTGTTTAGCATATCCTATGAAACATCATTAGTCAATTCTTCCACGGAAGAGTCATGAGACTTTCTTTCTCCCTTTCTGTATCCATTGGTTTTCCGAAATTGTAGTATCTTACCAATTGATATGGTCAGGCTTTCTGTCCCCACCTAAATCTCATCTTGAAATCTCCATAATCCCCATAAAACCCACCTGTCAAGGGAGAGAACAGGTGGAGGTAACTGAATCATGCAGGCAGCTTCCCCCATGCTGTTCTCATGATAGTGACTGAGTTCTCATGAGATTGGATGGTGTTTTAAGGGTTTCTTCCCTCTTCACTCAGCACTTCTCTTCCCTGCCACCTTGTAAAGAAGGTGCCTTGCTTCCTCTTTGACTTCTGCCATGATTGTAAGTTTCCTGAGGCCTTCCCAGCCATCTAAACTGTGAGTCAGTGAAACTTCTTTTCTTTATAAATTGCCCAGTCTTGAGCACTTCTTAATAGCAGTAGGAAAATGAACTAATACACCAACCATTGATTTCATGGAGTTCAGTCATTTGTGTCTCTCAAGTGTTTAGCTGAAACCTCTTGATCAAATCCTATTTTTGATAAAATTTCTTCCTGTTAAGTTAAATTTACCAGATAATCATGTGTCTCTTTCTTAAACTAGAAATAAGACTCATTTTCAAAGATACTGTATTTGAAGTACTACTAATGAGATCCCAGAGATTTAAAATGTTGTGAGTCCAGCAGGCCATGAAAGCCTAGTGGATCTCTGCTACTTCATCATTCTTGACAGTAACCTAAGTGGTGGTTAATTATTTTCTACTTTCTTGAATACATCAAGTGTAAATCCACAGAATATATTAACCAAAGTCAATAAGCAGAGAGGAGTGAAACACTTAAAAGCCTTATATCTAGACAGGAAGGCCACTCTGATGATATGCATTTAATCACATCTGTTATTTTTAAAGGTAAGCATTATAGTTCAATTAGAGTTCTATTTGTTAGATGCATTTTTCTTAATAGAATTATTCATCTTACTTAAAACAAGTTCAAGCCCCAATTAAATATATCTCCGGAAGGAATTCCCATCAGATATCTTGATCTGACTTTGGGCTTCTCATTAAAATTGTCACTTACTACCTTCAAATTCTATTATCTCTCAATCATCTCTAACTCTCTGTGTAAACATATAGAACTGATAGGATATTTGCATAAACAGATAGTTAAGACCAGGAAAGATTATATTTACAGAGATAAGTAACCTGTGCTCCCTGGTTTGTTCTGCTCCAAAAAAAATGAGTAAGTTGAGAAAAGGGATGACAAGAAGTGAGTGACAGCATCTGTTATCATTTTAACCTTTCATAAGTTATAACAAACAAAATATTAAGGAGTCAGGCATGGTGGTGCGTGTCTGTAATCCCAGCCACTTGGGAGGCTGAGGCACAAGAATCGCTTGAACCTAGGAGGTGAAGATTGTAGTGAGCTGAGGTCATGCCACTGCACTCCAGCCTAGGCAACAGAGCGAGACTCTGTCTCAAAAAAAAAAAAAAAAAAGATTAACTTCAGATAGAAAAGCTTGTTTCTCTCTCTAATTCTATGTACAATAAACTCAAGATCTAAAATTATATTTTGTGTTTGAAAAATATCCAGTAAAATCAAAAGCTAATGCCAAAGCTATAAAATATTTTAACTATTCAAATGGTCTCCTGCCATATATAAATGCTGAAGAGATTCAACATATTTATTTTCATACCAAGAGTAATTTATTGTCTAACATAGTCTATTATATGAACTGTACTTCCATTATTTGCAACAATAAGCCACTGGTCTTATTGACATAAGAACCATGAAATAAGAACTACTCCTGGAACCATTGTCCTTAGAATGTTCTACAGCCTGATTACAATCAGACACATCAAGGGCCATATATGTATTTTTAACTGTAATTCACTGTAAAGATTTCAACTGATTCAAAAATTGATATGCTCTCTTGTGAAAAGCAAAGGTTAAATTGTGAAATGCACCATAGGCAATTGGTATAAAACTGTTGCCTCTACTTTTTAATGAAATAAAATTTATTTTAATTTTAAATATATAGGTAAAAGAAAACATGTGTTTGAAATGTGGCTTGCTGAACTGATGCTCTCTTGATAATACAGATGACATGATAAAATGAAAGCATAAATATGTGAACTGAACAGGTTGGGTGGGGGTAACAATCTATGGTACAGAATACCTATGTAGTCAGAAAAGATTAAAATGTTTGAAGAATAAGATAATTTATTAAACCTCTGAAAATATTCTTTTATTTTGCTAATTTTCAAGGACAAACTAACCCAACACTTGGACCTATTTTTAAGTGGTCCGTGTTCATGTCTGTTTCTTGCCCCTTGCAAAGTACTATTTCTTCCAAAATATTTTCTGAACACACTATTAGGTTTTAAACCCACCATTTCCAAGAAATCTATTTTCACCAGTCCAGTTATCTGATTGGTTGCAGTTATTTTCCTTGACTAATTCAAAAGATTAGCAGTGTCACTTTGAAAGAATTGGTGATAATGAAACCAAACTACCTGTCTAATCACACAATTTAGAGCTCATTAGTAGACTGTGCAGCTCAATGTACAAGGGCTGGTACAAGGAGATAAAGGGCTAGAATCTCATCAGAAGGCTCCTCTTCCATTCCTAAGTCTACCCTAGTTCAAATAGAGATGTCAGAAGTGCCCTGATCTTACTGGGTTGAAAGGAGGAAAATAAATTAAGCAGGATATTGGCTAATTAATCATCAGCTCATATTAACGGAACCAGGACAGGCACGTTCTCCTTGTAGCAATCAAATCTTGTATTCGCATTTCTACTATATGCACCACTTTTAAAATTGTGTCCACTATTATTTATTTGCATTATTTTCCTGTCTTTTTGACCACCAACAGACTTCTCAGGAGTAGAGATTTGATTTAACTGTTCTTTGAATCTACTCCAAAAATGTAGGCATTCATTAAAAGTTAATTGAAAGATTACTGGATGAATGATTGAAACACACTAACACTTAAAAAAAAGATTGGGGAAAATAATCACATAAGAATTAGGATAGATGAAGCAGGATTATAGAGGTACACAAATTAAAGAGACATTTCTTTTTTTTGAGACGGAGTTTCGCTCTTGTTACCCAGGCTGGAGTGCAATGGCGCAATCTCGGCTCACCGCAACCTCCGCCCCCTGGGTTCAGGCAATTCTCCTGCCTCAGCCTCCTGAGTAGCTGAGATTACAGGCACGCGCCACCATGCCCAGCTAATTTTTTGTAATTTTTAGTAGAGACGGGGTTTCACCATGTTGACCAGGATGGTCTCGATCTCTTGACCTCGTGATCCACCCGCCTCGGCCTCCCAAAGTGCTGGGATTACAGGCTTGAGCCACCGCGCCCGGCCTAAAGAGACATTTCTAAATTTTGTTCACCAAAGACGCCCTTGAAGGAGATGGATGGTCTTTGAGCCAAGCAGTCCTGAGATCGGGCGCCACCTGCTGGCCTTAGAGAATATTATAACACGTTTCTGAGTGTACCTTGATTACATAAGCAAACTGCTGAAAAACTGGACTCCAAATTGCAACAGATGAGACAAATAGCCATTTATTTGCTGCTTACATGTACGTTTCAAGTACAAAGGACTTTATCCTCCTCATAGAGATTCAGAGATGCAGCTGAGTTGCCATACCCAGGGTCAGTCAGAGGAAGAAAAGTATTTGACGAAGAGAAGGTGCACTCATTCTCTGAAAGCTCAGGCTTAGAGGCGCACATAGTTTATCTCACAAGGTGGGAGAGAATTTGCCAGAAGGATATATCTTAATGCAAGAAAGTCAGAGAAATGTCAAGCTGTGTGCCATCCAGAGTGCTGTTACTATGGAAGGAGGAAAAGGATTTGGATGGTGGCTACAAGATTATCAGTTTGTTTCTTTATTTATAAAAATAAGAATAATAGCATTCACCTCAGACTGGTTTCTGTAAAATTAAGCAATAAAAATCAAAAAATACATTAGGCACCAAGGATAACAGAGTAAAAAAGATATAACAACTTAGGCTAAAGATTCTTGATTTCATGGAGAGATTCATAAGAAGTAGTTTCCATTTATCTGAGTAGTAAGAATGAATTATATTTTATTTTAGGTAGAATTCTAGAGTTTTAGGTGATCCATGGGGAAACTTCATATATTCACTCATTTACCAAATAGTCATTGCACACCCACTCTGTGCTACAGTCACAAACAAGATAGAAATCCTGGCCTCAAACAGTAAACAGGTATGTCAGGGGAAATTTTAGAGCATAGCTATTTATGATCTTTTGCCAACTCACCTTCTGAGGGAACTCAACTATTTTTTACCCTACCCAGCTATAAGGACAAAAATGTAAGAAAAACAAAAACTCTGTGTTTATTTGAGTTACACAGATAATTTCTTCCATAATTAAGATTACTATGATATAGGCTATTGAAAAAGAGAAACAGCATGCATAAGAGCAAT